TTGGAACTGACTTGATGATGCTTAACAACCATAACATTTGCTTCCATAAAGATTTACAGTCTCAAAAACCCTATATAGGGTCACTGTGAGTTGGAATGTATTTGATGGTAGTGAGGTTGGTTTGGTTTTGAATATTAGATTACCAAGTGAAAATACTGAGTAAAAACTTGGACATGTATCTATCTGAAGTATAGGAGAAAATCTGCACTAGAAATGGTCAGTGTAAAGAGTAGAAGTTACATCATGTACACAGTATGTAAAGCCATGAGACCAGGTGAATAACTATCTCAGAACTGGGCCCCTCTAGGAACTAAAGGCATAGAGTTGAGAGGGACAGCAGAGGAGACTGAGAAGTAGTCACTGGGGTAAGAGGAGAGACCAGTAAAGTGCCTTGACGAGGAGAAATGGGTGCTTCACTTGCTGAGTGTTAGGCAGTCTGAGGTACAAACTAAGAGCACACTAGAACTGTGGAGGTCTTTGAGTCCTTGATAGGAGCTATTGGATGAAATAGTCAGGACAAAAGCCTGATCAGAGTGGGTTCAGGAGCCATGGCTAGGAATTAAGAGACTGCAAGAAAGTCAGACTTTCTAAGTAGTGTTCTGTAAGGGAAACAGAAGTGGGATACTAGCTGGAGGGAATTGAGGAATTAAAAGAGTTGTATTTTATAAGATAGTAGAAATTATAAAATGTTCACTACTGGAATGACTGATTATAGTGAAGGAAAAACTGAAGGCATTTTGTGAATTTTAGGATCCAATAAGGCTTTATATGCCCCAAGTACTGCCATGCCCTTTTTTGTGCAACATCTGACACCTCCTGCTACATCTCTCTGGCTAGTCATACAGCTTTTAGGTGAAAGTATTGTAGGAGCAAATGGAAGAAATGAGGGAAAAGAGCTGAACAGAACTTTTCAAAGTGCAGCGTGAGAAGACAAAGTCTATTATATTGAAATATGCAAGGGCATTAGAAAATCAAAAGGAAAGAACAAGCTCAGCATTTTCTCAAACTGAAAGAACTGCAGAAAAAAATTCAAGCTTTGAATTACAATATTGAAGGATTCATGTACAAAATATTAAATGATAAAGAAAGCATCAAAAGAAGATGGAAGGAATACACAGTCACTGTATCAAAAGTAAATAGTAGATATCCAGTCATTTCAAGAGGTAGTATATGATCAAGAGCCAATGATACTGAAGGCATTGACAAAGAAAGGCTCCAGGAATTGATCAGATACAAATTGAAATTTTTCAACAAACTGATAAAGCACTGGAGGCACTCACTCATCTATGCTTAGAAATTTGGAAGACAGCTACCTGGTTTACTGATTGAAAGAGATCCATATTTGTGCCCATTCCAAAGAGAGGGGACCCAACGGAATGCAGAAATCATCATACGAGATAGCACATGCAAGTAAAATTTTGCAAAAGATAATTCAAAAACAGCTGCTGCGACAGTAATTGACAGGGAACTGCCAGAGGTTCAAGCCAGATTCAGAAGAGGATGTGGAATGAGGGATATCATTGCTAATGTCAGATGGATCTTGGCTGACAGCCATGAATACCATAAAGATGTTTACCTGTGCTTTATTGGCTATGCAAAGGCTTTTGATTGTGTGGATCATGACAAGCTATGAACAACATGGCACAGAACAGATATTCAGGAACACTTTATTGTGCTCATGAAGAACCTGTACATAGACCAAGAGGTAGTCATTCAAATAGAACTAGGGGACAGTGTATGGTTTAAAATCAGGAAAAATGTATGCTAGGAAGGAAGACCATTTTAGAATTGATGGATTTGAGATATGGTGTTGGGGAAGAATATTAAAAATACCTCAGGCTGCTTGAAGAACAAACAAATCTGTGTTGGAGGAGGCACAGCCAGAATGTTCTTAAGAAGCCAGGATGGCCAGACTTCATCTCTCCTACCTTGGACATTAAGGAGCTCTGGTAACGAAGTGGTTATGAATCAAGCTGCGAACCTTGAGATCAGTAGTTTGAAACTACCAGCTGTTTTGCAGGAGAAAGATGAGACTTTCTGCTCCCGTAAAGATTTACAGCCTCGGAAACCCGTACAGGGACGCTGTGAGCCAGAACCGACTCCAAGGCACATAACCACCACCACCACTTTGGACATTATTATCAGGAGGGACCAGTCCTTGGAGAAGGATATCATGCTTGGTGAAGTGGAGAGTTAGCAAAAAAGAGATGGCATGGTAGTAGCAGCAGTGGACTCAAGTATAGCAATGATTGTGTGGATAGTGCAGGACTGGGCAGTGTTTCATTCTGTTGTGCTTAATGTTGCTATGAGTTGAGACCAACTTTGAGGGCACATAATAACAACAAATAATAGGAGCAAATTCACTTTCAAGTTAGTTGGATTATATAGTTTTCATCTTGATAATAAGACTGTTTGCCTCCTAGTAACTGTCAACTAGTGGAAAACCACTTTGTGTCTTAAGATATTTTTTGAGGGGACTGGGGAAATATACTAGGCTACTTCAGAATGTTCAAGGAAACATTCCAGTGTCTTTCAGTTTCATTTTTCTACAAACTTTAAATTCCCCTCTTATTCTTTTGGTATTAAGACATTAAAGGGCAGGCCTGCTGTAGAGAATTGATTAAAAAAAAATACATGATCTGAGAAACTATCACCAGAACCACTTAAAATTCCTTTTACTTTGACAGCAGTGTAATTTGGTGGTTAAGCCACTGTCATCGAGTTGATGCTGTTCATAGAGACTATATAAGACTCTGGAGTCCTGGTGTGGTGCTGTGGGTGAATGTGCTGGACTGTGAAGTTGGCAGTTTATGCTTACCAGCTGCTCCTCAGAAACCCTGTATAGGGTTGCTGTGGGTTGGAACTGACTCAATGGCATTTAACAACAGCAGCATAAAAGACTCCTGGTGTGGCGTTGTATGATAAACACCAGACTGCGAACCACAGGGTCAGAAGTTCAAACCCACCAACTGCTCCTCGGAAACCCTATACTGGGTTTCTGTGAGTCAGAACTGACTCAGCATTACTTAACAACTGCAACATATAGGACAGAGAAGTTTAGATGTGTACAGATGGACATACAGTTTAGATTATAAGGCCCACCTTAGTTATCTATTACAAAGATATTTATAAAAGTGTTGTTAATAAATGTCATTGTTGTTTTCTCTGTAAGACGTGAAGTGTTTCATTATTTTTTTCAAGTACTGTCAAGAAAGCCTGGGAATGTGTAATATTACACTTGACTAGAATTGAAAACTGAATGTGCTAAATTTTTCTGTTTTCTAACTCAGATTAAGAACTTCTTGTCAAAACGGGTGCTGATAATGTATTTTTTCAGTAAGGTAAGACTATGTAATTGCACCATTGGGAATGTGGAGAGGAAATAAGAAGTGAAGTAGCAGATAGGATCTGAATTCTAAATATTTTATAGCTTAATCTAGTGTGCTAAACTGCTTTGTGCTTCAGTGAACCCCAGCTTTAACAATAGTTGCCCTAGACACACATCTCACCTTGGTGATTCCTGAAGCTTGACGGGGAGTTGGCCTCCTGAGTCTCTTGACTGTAGGCAGCTCTGTGCTGAAGAAACGTCTACCTACTTGCTTCTGGATCTTCCCAAAGCGAGCACATCTATGGCTATCTGATGTTTCATGGCTCATTATACTCCTAACATCTATGTGGCCAATTTGGTTTTGAAAAGAGATGACTTAGTTACATTACAGATGTTAAACTTGTGATGGATAAAAAGTTGTAATTCAGGTCACAAACTAAACAATTTTCCAGTTTGCCTGTCAGCTGCTGTAGTTGCCACAGGAGAGTAAATTGCAGTTGCAGAAGCTAAAGATTATCTTCTGTTTTTAGTGACTACAGCTGTTGTGTATTAATGAATTCTTTGATGAGCAAACCTTTGCCCATATGTAGGGGAAATAATTTTTATTTTAGTTTTTAAATCAAGCTATTCTTTTTCTGCAGCTAATGCATTATTAGCTAATATTGCATACATTGCATTAATGCCTTCAAGTACAAGTTTGCATTGGCATCATTATTCATTATTATTATTTGGGAGTCCATAGTATGGTAAGGAAAGAGATTTGAGCAAGTCTGAAAGAAATATAGGTACACATAACAAAGAATAATTACTAATTTATGGACCTGATTTCTCACTATAGTGAAAGGGAAGATCCACTCAATTAGCAATTACCTTCACCAAAAAAATAATCTACCTTGAACTATCCATTAGCACTTTGGAAAAAGTTCCAGACTTCTATAAAAGAGGAAGTGGTTTTAGTTGTACTTCAGTGTTTTATTTCAGAAGGCTGAGATGAGAACTCATCCGTAGTATCTTCTTTTAACTGAAGTTTCCTTATTTAATTCTAAGAGCAGTTCTGTGAGCTATGTCTTGTTCTCATTTTACAAATGAGGAGACTTGAGGGTTTGGAGGACCCAGCGGCTAGCCTGAGAGCATGGTGGTGGGTGGTGTTTATGTGC